GTTCCCGCGGCTGGGCATCTTTTGATTGACTGAACTTTTACCTCATATGATCTCAAATATCTAAGTATTTTCTGATTGCATTGGATTTGTAATCCATGCATTGACAATTCTAGCTCTCCCATTATTATTCCTTTATTATTCTTTAACGAGAGCGAATTTATTTGCTCATTTGGCAAAAAAGTCACAGTATTTACGGCGTTCATTTTGCAAGTAGAAATACCTGCTTTTCTTAGACAATCTTCAGATTTAGCTTGAATAACTACAACTTCAACTTCTCCATTAATTAATTGAATAAAATTTAAATAAATAGCCAATAATGCCATTAAACGTAATTTATTCAATCTTCTGTTTCTTTTTAATGTTTTATTATTTTTAACTTTACTTCTATTATTCAATAATAATTTTTTAGTTATATCTTTTTGTCTATTTTTCTTTTGTGCAAAAAATATTTCCATCGGCATTTTAACAATATTCCAAATTATTCTTAATAATTTTCCGAAAATTAACAAGAGTTTACAGGCAAATATTGCTATAGAGAGAATAATAGTCAAAATAAATCCCGTTACAATACCAATCAGTAGTAAGCTTTCTAATGATTCACATTGTGGGTTGACTATTCTTTCACGTAAGCCTGATATTCTTATACATGGATCAACTGCTGGACATGAAATCCAGTCTCTGTACATGTATCTTTTGCCCCAATAAGTGGCTCGGCATTTATAATCCAATGCTGTTTTATCTTTTGGAATTTTAAATGCTAATCTTGACAAACCATTTATTTCTAAAAGGCAGCTTCCTGCACAACACAATTCAATTTTATTTATATAGTCAACTGCGTTAGCTTCAACGCCGAAAGTTCTACATTTCATAAAACATCCTTTACAATTTATATATCTTGGTGGTTCAGCAAATGCAATTGCAACCATATATATTAATTGTACAAATTGTAGGCACAAAGCCACTTTTGATCTTGTAACCATCGGATGCGTATTTTTATTTTTAGTCACCAATTTTTCAGTCTCTTTTTTACTCAAATCTACTTCATTTTCTTTTTCATTCTCATTATTTAAATTTTCTTCTACTATATTCTCATCTTCAATCTCCAAAGGAGAGATTTTATTAATCGGGCGTATAAAAGTTTTATCTCCAATTTTTATCTTTGCGCTTCTAGCTGGAGTTCCATCCAACTCCACTATTTTTCCTAAAGGCCAGACATTGCGAGGTTGTCCTTCTTGATGCATAATAACAACTTCGCCAATTCTTGGATTTCTTTTTAAATCATTTCTTTGATTGTGATGAGTCCACTTCGACTTATCTCTCAACATTATGAGATAATCACGCTTCCAGGTATCCCAAAACCTCTGAAGCGTTTTTAAAGTGGCCATCCATCTTTCTTGAACTTGTTCGGCCGTGCTCATTTTTCCTAGCCGAAAATTATCGTCTTCAATTTCTGGAAATTTTTGAATAATTTCCACTCTTGGTATTATAAAATCAATTGGCCTCAAGCATAATGGGCCGTCTTTTTCTAAAGATATATAAGAAATAGGTCTACAATTTATAGACATTTCTACCTCCTTTATAAATGTTCTTAACTCTTCTATATTTAATATTCGACTTCCCAAAGATCTTTTAAATGAATCTTTAACTAATTTTACTAATCGCTCATAAACGCCACCCTGCCATGGAGACAAAGCAGGTATGAATTTCCATTCAATCTCTTTTTCTAATAAAAAATTATTAAATAACTTTTCATCATTATTTGCTTTTTCTTTCTTCCATTTACCTTCAATATTGGCATTTATTACTTTTGCAACCGTTATAAACTGATTGCCATTGTCCGAAATTATTTTCAATGGTGCGCCTCTTTGCGCTACAAATCTTCTTAAAATATCCAAGAATGAAAATGCAGATAGATCTGTAATTATGTCTAAATGGATTCCTCTTGTTGATAAACATGTAAAGAGCGCAATCCAAAACCTGACTTTTCCTCCTTCTATTTTGCACATAGAAGGTCCGAGATAATCCACTCCAACAAATTCAAATGGACGTGATTGTCTTACTCTTTCTTTAGGCAATATAGGCATATCCGGCAGTGCAAATTTAGGCGAACTAATTCTTTGGCACTTTTTGCACTCTTTTATAACAATTTTAGTTATGCGCCTTGCACATGGCGTCCAAAATTTCATTAAAAAGTTTGCAACTGTTGAGTCAACTCCCGAGTGACTCAATTCTTCATGCATTTTTCTCAATAAAAGTTTTATAGCAAAACATCCCTTAGGTAATAAAATCGGATGTTTAAAATAATCTTCTGCTTCACAATTAATTATTCTTGTTTTTAATCTTATTAATCCATTCTCATCAATTATTGTCTGTAAATTATCGTTCTTTTCGTTTTTGTAAGAACTTTGTGCAATTTTTAAAACAAAAATTTCAACTTTTTTGAAATTATTTGCCGACATACGATTTTTCAAATTTATTTCACTAAGAAATTTTTCTTTTACAATTTTTCTGCTCTTTTCTATCCAAATCCGAGCAGCTATTGTTACAAACATTAAACATTTAATTAATTTATTCCATGAGTTCCAATTATTAAAATTTATTAAATTATCTTCTTCATCTATCTTTTTATTTAAACAACTTAATATTAATTCCTGATTATCTTCTTCGCAAGTATCTTCTTTTTCAATTTCAAAATTCAATTCATTTGGCCAATTATTTTCAGGCCTTTTTAACCAATCAGGACCTTCCCACCAAATATGGCATTTTTCTAATTCAGATGCCATTATACCGCGAGTGGCTATATCTGCTGGATTATCAATCGTATTAACATATCCAAATTTAATTCCATTATTTTTTCTTATTTCATTTATTCTATTTTCTATAAATTTTTCATTTTTGCCTCCTGCCTTTATCCAGCTTAATACCGGCTTTGAATCACACCATAAAAATTTATCTTTAATTTCAACTCCGATTTGTTTCTCTACAAATTCTAAAGCTCTTTTAGCAATAACCACGCCTAAAAGTTCCATGCGTGGTATTGTTACTTCTGATTTTCTAGGTTTCAAACGATTTCGTGCATATAATATCTGTGTATGAATTTTTCCTTCAAATTCCGATTTTATGTATATGCAAGCAGCATAAGCACATTTAGATGCATCAGAAAATGCATGCAATTGTTTTACACTTTTAATATCAGTCACTCTTCTATTAATCTCGATGGGATCTAGTGTCCATGACCTAGTGATTTCTATCCATTTCATTGCATTTTCCTTACTAATTTTATCATCCCACTTATTCTCTTTAGTCCATAATGACTGAAAGAATAATTTTGCAGATAAAAGACTAGGTGAAGCAAGTCCTAATGGATCAAACATGCTTGCTAATTCACGAAGAACTATTCTTCTAGTCACGCTTTCAGCCGAATTCACTATTGGAAATACAATATTTATCTTATCTGAAGATATTTCCCATGGTATTCCCAAAATTTTAGGCTTATTCTTCTCCAGCCTATCTTCGAGTGGGAAACTTTCATTAAGCTCCACATTATTACTGATGAATTCTCTTAAATTCATTTGAGCATCTCTAAATATCTCTTTTAATCTTTTATAAGCGAGCCAAGCTTCATTGGCCGATTCTACTCCAATAAATATATTATCCACATAGGAATTTTCTTTAGCAATCTTTGCAACAGGGTCATCACACTTCTCTAAATGATGTCTGACAGTCGCTGATAACAAAAATGGACTCGAGATTACCCCAAAGGGAACTTTTGCAAATCTTAGATATTGAATATTCTGGGTTGATATGGGTTTCTTCGTATCTTTTACCCATATAAACTTAGTCACTTCTCTATCTTCTTCTTCCAATTCTAATGTATGGAATGCCTTTTCAATATCAGCCCACATGGCAATTTTTGGCACTCTAAATCGAATTAATAATCCTGCTAAATCCGGCATAATTATTGGCCCTCGATATAAACATTCATTTAAGCTTTTTCCTTCTCGCATTCTTGCGGAAGCATCATAAACTATGCGCACCTTTTTTGTATTAATAACAGGGTGGTGGGGCAGAAAATGTTCTATTTCCCCTTTCTTCTTTTCAGCCTTTTCAATCACACCTCTTTTCAAATCATTATTAATTATTTCCTCGTATTTATCTAATAAATCTGGATTTTTCTTTAATTTATCCATGAGATTTAGAAATCTTTTATATGCCAATGAAAAATTAGATGGCAAATTGTCTTTCTCAATTTTCCATGGCCATTTTACTATATAACTTCCATTTTCATTTCTTTTAATCGTACTATTAAATAAATCTAAAGCAACTTTATCATCTTTACACACAGGATCATCTTTGACTCCTATTGTCTCTAATGACCAATAATTGTTAAGTTCCTCATTTTCCAAAGTGTTAGAACTTAATATAGTACACAAATTTTCCTTTTTATTTAATCTTTTAAATTTTTCACCGCTAATTTCGCCACAAATTATTGGCCCTACAGTCGTTTCAACTTTAAATAGATAGTCCGATAATGGTTCTATTCTTTTAAAGAACCTCCAGAAATGCTTCATACCTATAAGCATATCAGGGACTATATTTGCGCAAGCAATCTCATTTGTTCTTAAGTCTGCGCATCTAAATCTTGGCATCAAATTCTTATTAATACTATAAACTATTATTTCTTCAAAATTTCCATTATCAAGAAGAACCTTTAAAGAATAACACGAAGTTTTTAGCTTTATTGGCTCTTTTCTGAAAAATGGGACAACTCCTAATTCTGTTCTTTTTAATTTTTTCAATTTTAATTTTTCAACAAGTTCATTACATAAGAAATTAACTGTTGCTCCTGAATCAAAGAAGCATTTTGCATTTATTTTATTATTTCTCTCTTTTAACATTAAATCTGCTTTCATCAAAACAATATTATCTTCGCCGTTATCATCAATATTAAGCATATTTTCACTTATTTGATTAACGCTTTCATTTTCCTTAATCTGTCCTTTCTTTTCTTTTTCAACTTCTTTAGGACAGATTATTTTATTGTGGTCTCCTTTACATATACCACAACTATATTTCACATTACAATCTATTTTGGCATGGCCTTTCCTTAAACAAATCAAACATCTATTTTGTTCAGACAGAATGCTCATTCTCTGTCCAATAAATCTGACTTGCTTACAATTTCCAGCTAAGTGTGGACCATTGCAAAACAAACATGAAATTTCTCTTTTTTGGTTCTTTGGCGCTGTAAATACACGCGCAGGTTCCGGTTTTCTCTGATTATTTGTGTTTCCATTAAATCTCCTTTGATTAAGATTCGGCACATTTTGCCAACTATTTTTATATGCCAATGACCTCGTGCATCTTTGTGCCTCTTCTCTTAAGGCCACAATTTCTGCAAGTCCTTCTCTTAATCTTCCTACACTCCAATTTACTTTCTCCAATTTTTCCATTTTTAATAATTCTAGAACAATACTTCTTGGCAATTTATTCTTAATTGCCATCATAACTATAGATTCATCTTCTAATTGCCCCATAGCAGTCAATGATCTACAAATTCGTTCAACCTCCTCGAGATATGAACGTAAAGACCATATTGATTCGTTAGCCACTGGCAAGCTAATTAGTTCGGCATGCAGTGTATCTCTAATTGCCTTTTCATTTCCGAATTGTCTTATAAGAGCATCTTTCAAAGGCGCATAATGTTCTGATATTGGCCTATAACCCAAAATTGCCCTTTTTGCCTTACCTCTAAGACATTGTATCAAATAGTGGGCCTTTAGCCCGTTATCAATATTCAAACAATCCACCGTTCTCTCAAAAGCCTGCCAAAATTCAGGCCAACGTAGAGTATCTCCATAAAATTCTGGCAGTCTAGTCCGCGGAAGATGAGGTGGAAGCACCTGCTCACTTCTAACTGGGACTTGCTCTACATTTATATTTCTGCGGACTTCATTTGTCCGATTTAAGCCAACTCCTATTTCCTCTGAGATCTCTGACTGCGTACTACGAGCATCAGAACCTTCAGCAAGAACAATTTCTATGTCATCGATAGCCTCTCTTCCTGAGTCTATCCATTCTAAAAAATGCCGTTCCTCTATGGCATATCTAGCAAAAACACCTTCTTCGGCAACTCTTTCATTTGCCGGTAAATCTTTAATATATTTTTCCCATTTTTCAACTTTTTCTTCCACGAAATTAATTGCCCTACGGATTTTAACTAAAATTCTTTATCTTCAAACAAAATAAATATTCACACAGAATATTAAAAAAAATGAATATCTCAAAAGACATTGAAAAGTGAAATTTCTGCCTACTTTTTATAGGCAAAAATTTCTATATAAAAATGATGCAATGTTAAGTACATTGCAAAAAAGTACATAAAAAATTGTCAAAAATGGAAAGTGACTCACTGAGTCACCTCCAAAAATAATAAACAAAATAAAAAATATCAAAAATATTTCAAATCTTTAATTCTTCAATTTCGTCATCGACAGATCTGATCAAATTGTCCTGCTAAGTAAAATAATCCCGACATTTGTATGACATATTTGATTTGATTCTTAGCGGGGGATAGATTTGATATGGTATTAGTTTTTAGTGATTAGTAGTCTTGGAACTACAAGACTTCCAAAAATAATACTGGACTTTGGACGGGCTAGAAAATAATTATGTAATCATGTCGCGCTTTAAAACAGTTTTGCTTTTAAAAAACGAATGCGGTGTATTTAGTTCTTCAAAACATGATGTTAATAAATTATTTTTAGCCATTTTTGGAAAAGAAAGGAGACGATAAGCAACGTGACCATGACTATGGTTAGGGATATTGTGAAGTATGAGACCTCACCTATTCGGCTGTAACTTTGGGTAGGATGATTTGATCAAATCAATCCTGCTAAAATAATCCCCACTTTTAGAGCTTTCGATTGTTGAAAAAATTGTTTGAATTGCTTAAGAATCAAAAAAGTTATGGCCCAAAATATGCCTTAAACACTGAATCGGCGATACTAAATCGTCCCTCATTTGGGGATGAGATCATTAATTAATGAGATATTTAATCTCAGAGGATGTTACCGTAAATAGCCATTATGTTGGCTTCCAAAAAATAGAAAACTGGAAAATAACTGAATCAGTCGAAGTAATCTGATAAAAACATTTAAACATCCTTTAACATACTTAAAAACATGGTGTAAATAAATTATTTTTAGGAAATTTTGGAAAAGAGAGAAGACGAAAAGCGACGTGACTTTGAATATGTTTGGGAACAATGTAAAGCGAGATTTCTTCATAAGCTTATAAAAGTACGAGCAAATATTCACTTAATGCTATTTATTTGAATTAGAATTTTATAAATATTTATAAAAGAAAATGTGTAAAATGATTTAAGATGATGTTCGTTTTGTATATTTTTGTAAGCATGAACAATGTTCATAGCTATCTGTTTGTTGTCCTTATTTAGTTAAAAGTCGTTCTATTATTCAGTCTCGGTGTTAGTACATTGTTATTCTATTACTTTTCTGTTATTCTCCTCTGTAAATAAATTAAAGCAGAGCTGGGCTATAGCTATTTCTCTCTTTCATCTAGTGCAAAACGTTAATCGGCGGCTTGGGGCGAACCAGCATCTTCAGTAGACCGGGCTGATTTGTTATCCATTACACCACACTGCCTACTGCACAGCCTTAGAAATTAAATAACTATATGCTTTACTCATTAACCATCTCTGTTGGCTTCCAAAATAAACGAACACGCAGTATTACATCCAATTCTAGATACAATTTAATAAAAGCATTTAAACATATGTTAATCTAATAAATGTTATGATGTACTAAAATGACATGTTTACTGATAAAAACACATTTAAGACATATTTAAGTGCCTCGCTATAATATATCCCCAATAATAGCTACACATAAATCCAAGATACGTTCTCTTAAAATAGCATTGTTAAACCAAAAACAGCGTCCGAACAAATCATCTTTAAGTAATTAGACTAAAAAGCATAGTGCACCTTGAAGAAAATGAATCTGCTTTATGCTGCTCTAATCTCTTCTTAATATTAATTATTTCATTTTTAATTTTTATAAATTCTTAATACAATATTCATCACATTTGGTGCGATCTCTCCTAGTATAACGGGTATATTTTTGGAAGCTTGAACATTTGTTCATAGCTATTTATCGTTATGAAAATCTTATCTTGCTTATATGATAGTATGTATATACATTATTAGGAGAGACAAAATTTAGAGATGATGTCATAGGATTATGTATTTTGAGGATTAAGAGGATATTCAGAGATTTGAGGGATATAGGATATTTGGGGATTGAAAGGATATAGCAGGATTATGGGAGTAAGAGGGAAATAACATTATTAGGAGAGACAAAATTTCATTTCTTTTGGTATCTTTCTGTAGGAAGAGCGACTTTATGTGACCGTAGCATAATATTAATTAATTAAATTTATGTTTTGATAAATACTGGAATATTTTTTTGTATTGATTCTGCCCGTTAGCCATGACGTAATTTTTTGGAAGCCTGAACAACGTTCACGGCTAATTAATCGAAAAATCATTCTACCTTTTTCGGGAGCCTCTCGGCTTCGGACGTGAATCTCCAGCTTTCTGTAACCCAGACTTTTTACACTTTTTACACAATATATACCAAATTATTAATTCGTTTTTATTAATTCCACTTAATTATGACAGTCAAATAGGAATTGTTTGAAGTGACGGTGTTTATTTTTTGGATGCTGAAATTATTCAGCAAAACTTTCTGAAATATTTTTTCTACAAAATAAAACTTATGCTATCTTATAGCAATTTTTAAGGGCTTTCGAATGAGCCCAAAATGAAAATTTAAAACCAACCATAAGGGGTCGAAAATATTTTTTAAATAGCCTTACCCCCGATTTACGTTGATTTTCGAGGTATCTGGATCTCGACAGTGAAGTTAGATAGGGGTCTAATTCTTTTTTATTTTTTCTTAGAATTGATAGATATGTTAGCTAAAATTTTTGTAGATTTTTCTTAATGTTAGAAACACGAAATTTCAAAGTGCGTCTATCATTTTCTGACACTTGTTTTTCAAAAAATGAAGCATAAAAATTTTTAAAAAATAGTTAGGAAATTTTTCTTGGTTATTTTCATTTTAGCATTCAAAAAGATATAATAGGAAAAATTTATACAAAAATATCTATTATATTAAGCGAGATAATCGCAAAAATATGGGTGCGTCTATCTTTTTCTGACACAGTGTATAACGGAAATTGGTTCTTCCTTTTTTTCCAAAATAGTCAATTATTAGATGTATAGATAGTCTCGTTCCTCAAGAGGTTGTTGGCAAGACACGAGGCTGAGGTTCATAGACCCGAGGCCAGTCGATTCGAGGCCGATATGAACTTTCTTATCTTGACTAAGGTCTGAATTTTTATAAACTTTTGGTTTAAAATCAATTTATTTAACTAAAAAAAATTTTTTTTAATTTTTTTAAATGACGAATTTTCTATATTTATACAAATATTAAATAAATAAATTTATTTAATTTCATAATAATAAAAATAAAAAATTAAATAAAATTTAATTTACATTAATTTACTTAATTTAATATAGTAAAACCCATTTTTTGTAAGATTAAAGGCGAGGGAGGCTTATTTTACTTAATGATGTTTTTATTGTTTATAGATTTTATTAAAACTTGTTTTAAATATCAGAAACAAGTTTTCAGGAATATTATTAGAAACATTGTTTAGATAAACATTAAAACATTCTGGAAGGTATACTGAGAAATAGAAGAGACAAACATTCCGGAAAACATGAGTAAATAATTTACGGCCTTCCGGAAACCTTTAAACACAACAACTAACTCATTAAAATATTCTGGAAAAACTTCAAACATGTTTCCTCGAACATTATTCCTTGAATGAACATTATAAACATTACAACTTTCCGGAAAAACATATAAAAGCATCTTTAACACAGGAATCATTCTTCCGGAAAAACATAAATAAAACATAATTAACACCTTCCAAACTTTCCGGAAAAACTTTACAACATTCAATAAAAACATTACAACTAGCCGGAATGTTTATTAAACATTAAACTTTCCATAAAAACATAAAACAAAACATTGTTCAGCCAAACATTAAAACATTCCGGAAATTATCTGAGAAATAAAAAAGACAGCCTTTCCGGAAAAACTAAAATGTTTTCCGGAAAATTCACCAAAACATTGTCATTCAATAAAAACATTGTTCAACTTAACTTTCCGGAAGGTTGTAATAAAAATGTTTTCCGGAAAATTCATCCAAACATCGAACTTCCCATTAAAGCATCCATTAAAACAAACTTTCAAGGGATGTTGTAACAAAAACATTTTCCGGAATGTTCATCAAAACATTAGACTTCCCATAAAAACATCCATTAAAACAAACTTTCCGGAATGTTGTAATTAAAAATGTTTTCCGGAATGTTCATCAAAACATTAAACATTCCATTAAAAC